ATCATCTGTAACTGCAGTTCCAGGGATCTGCCGCCCTCTTCTGGCCTCCAAGGGCACTGCACATGTACACAGACATACATACAAAGTACTCACAGATATAAAATAAAATTCTCAAAAAATAATCCCGACAGCATCTGTTGTGGGTAAAGATGCTGACAGCACACAACCAACTACACATGCAGGTTTGCTTCCTGTGGTGGCGAATCTTGTCCGTGTGGACCCCTGGGCAGAGTGAGCCTCATCTGAGGAATTGTCTCCATCAGATTGGCCTTAGTCTATGTTTGTGGTCATTTTCTTGATTGCTGGTTTGTAGGGAGCAGAGGAAGTCCTGAGTGAGCGAATGTGTGTTTTACACGGCCATGGTCAGTGGAGGATTCCAAGATCAGATGGCCCATGGGACACCATCAAGGGCATTACCAACACAGGTCTGGCTCTAGAGACAGCAAAGCTCTCCTTGGGAGCCCAAGCACAACTCTATGAACTATGGGTCACCGTGTGCTAAGATTACCAATTCTGACTTCATGCTCCTGGATGTTCATAGCCTGAGACGGCTCACCTGTAGGGACCTCGTACCCATACTGGCCAACCCCTTCCTCCACTGTACCTATAAACGTGGGGGTTCCAGGTTGTGGAGGTGTCAGTAGCATTAGAGAAACCCCCACATCCCAGCTTCATCGCGTGTGTGTCTGTCCTTTCCTCATTCCCTCACTGCCCCGCCAGGGTTCTAGGACCAGAGCAGTGGGTGCCGCACAGATTGATGTAGGATGGCCCAGCTCACTGTGGACACGGCACCCTTAGGCGGGGGCACCTGGGGTGGACAGAAAGAAGCTTGCAGAGGAAGCCAGGGAGAGCCAGCCAGTGAGCATGTCTTACGGTCTCGGCTTCAGTTTCTGTCTCCAGCTCCAAGGCCAGGCTGTAACCTCAAAGTCAAATAAGCCCTTTCCACTCCACGATGTTTTTGGTCACAGTGTTTGCCGCAGCAAAGAAAGTAAAGCAGAATAGCATCTGATGGCTGGTTGAGTTGGCTCAGGTCTCAGTCAGGGTTTCTATTGCTGCAACAAAACACCAGGACCACAAAGCCAGATGGGGAGGAAGTCAGGACAGGAACTCACACAGGGCAGGGACCTGACAGGAGCTGATGCAGAGGTCGGGAGGAGTGCTGCTTACTCATCTGGTCCTCATA